AAAGGGATAAATAAAATGAAAAATTAATAGTATTTAAATTCATCTATCCATGTCGTTTCAATCAAAAAGGTATAAGGTATTTTACTATTTCAATTTCAGTATTGCCCAATTTGGGCAATTCACAAGGTGTCGTATTTGTCGTGTTTGTCGTGAAGTCATGATATTTCATGACAGTTGTAAAAATGTTGTTATTGTTTTGTGAAGAAAAATAACACATGACGATACAACTCTGCATCCTATGTTTATTCGGTGTTATGTGAGGTTAAGTGCTGAGATATAATAAATAATCGTAACAGGTGTTCACAACCGTCGTGTTTTAACACAACTTTTGTTAGGAAAATATAACTTCACAACACCTTGTGAATTGCCCGAATGATATGTTTGAGACCAATTGGAGAATTACATAAGACTTCAAGTTGAGAACTAGCATTTTCTCAACTTGAGAAACAGTCCTTTTTTCATACAAAGAAAAATGCCCTTTTTCTTGAGAACGCTATGATCCTCCACTTGAGGTACTGTTGAGAAACAACGTTGGAGATTTGAGAAATAACTTAGTTCTCAACTTAACCTCAAGTTGAGCTTAAACCTAAATGTTTATTGGGTTGATACATATGGTAGAATATAAATAGCCAATAGACATGATTCAATAATACAAGGTTCGATAAACTGACAGTTGTCTCTCGCACCGCTCCCTTAGCAGTGGCACTGTGTTGCTTCTTTGCAAATTAACATGGAAACCGTGTAGCTTTGGTGTGAAATAGAAGTATAAGCTTTTGTGCAGCATGTTTATTTGTATATGCATATGAAGCATATTTAACTGATGAAAACATAAGGATTGGATGTTTACATCAATCTCATAGCAGTCTTATTTTAATTTTGAGTCATTTTGCAGTTTTTATACGGCTAAATAGCATATAAATTAAGTAATTCACGTAGATATATCAATATTACGTTGAACATTTCGTTTAAAATGCCAGATTTCCTTCAAATACATTAGAATTTACGAAAGGAATTCACTACTAATTGCCTACTTTGCGTACTTTTCTACTACCATTTTCGAAACAAGGGATTGCATTCTTGCCCTTTCTCTGTCCTTCGTAAATGCAACCTTTTGTAAGGGAGTGTCAAACCGCAGCTGTCAATAATTATCTAACCTTGTATTATTGAGTCATGGCCAATGGAGACCGCTCATTGCTCTTCAAGAGCAATATATATCAGAGCTTATATCTTGCTATCTATTGCCGGCAATTTGGTATAGTATAACCTTCGTTTTCTGGGAGTGGAAAGCAGGAAACGAAAATTAACTAAAATTCCATCACATTTAATGACTGGGACCACATTTTTGTGAGTTTTGCACGTTATAGTGATTCAATCTTCCCCATATTTTATATTTAGGTTTTTCTAATAAAATAAAGACCACAAACTAAATTCCATCGAAATCGGATGAAATTTAATGTTTCCGCCACCAAGAGTAGAGGGCGTGGCAATTATTCCATGTTTACAAAATTTCATAATTCTCTATTTCTAAGCAAAACTAGAACACACGTCAAGTTTCAGTGAAATCGGTGCAGGTGTACTATTATTTCCACCTGCCTCCATATAGTCGAAACACTGTGCGTCGTGCCGCTCATTGTTTTGTAAACAAAACACAGCTGATAAGCATATCCACAAATGTTATTTCAAATGTCAACGCATGAACGCAACAGAAAAGTAGCGAGTTGGATTACTTTCGACCAAAGAACGTAGATAACAAGAAGAAACAACTCGTTATAATTGTGGCGAAAGTGCGCAACAGGGTCGTGCCTTATCTTTTCATCCAATCAAAAAACGCACTAGGCCAAAAGAGAAGGCACGCCCCTGTTGCGCGCTTTCGCTACAATTATAACCAGTTGTCCCTTCTTGTTATCTACGTTCTTTGTTTCGACGGCAACTACGTTAACGCATTCCTAACGGCGTCGTCTGTAGCAGCTGTCATACAAATACACGTGTTCAATTTTATTTGACGTTGACGGCGTGACGCATTTGCCGGCGAACGCATGTTGTTGACCTTCGCTTTTAGTCTGTTCCAATAGCAGTCCGGTTTACAGGAACTTACAGGAACTCGTTCATATAGACACAAAACCTGTGGGAACACTTTTGAGAGAGTAACTGAGCAACTTTTCGTAGTCAGAAGTTACAGGATTTAGTCCGGAGTTTGTTTTTTCCTGTAAGTTCATGAAAAGTGTCAAACGATGGGCAGGGTTGCATTTTTAAACAAAAACAGAACGCGGCGAAAGCCTTAGGAACCTTATATTTGAAAGTAAACAACGAAATGTTTGAATATGTATAGATTTAAATAAGTATTTGGTGATATTTCAGCCAAATCAGTGTTGTACCAATGACATGTAAACAAACCGAGTGAAATTTTTACAGGAAATAGTGCTTTTCGCGTTCCCGTACATTTCTGCACCTGGTCTCCTTTTACTCTCACTTGAGAGAGTAAAATTGTAGTCTGACCGTTCCACAGGTTTTAGTCCGAAGTTCAAAGCAACAATCTTATTATTATTATCTTTTTTTATTCGCGAAAATTACCTGATCTAGAACATCGGTATACAGATCCATAACATACAACTCAAAATTAAGTCTACGTGTCTCGGCGTTCTTTTGTGTCACTTTTGAGTCCCTCCCTACAGCGTCATTAAAAAAGTTCATGTTTTTAAAATACATATTCACGAAATTTTAGTGAAAATCATGGTACTAAAATATAAAAGGCTTTATTTCAGTGGGTTTTGTGAAAACCCACCTGTCGGATGGCGGGTTAAGTTTTGTAAATGATAAAGGTTTTCTTCATGTGATCACATGAGCGTATGCAGGTACGGTTGAAAATAATAAAATAATTATGATTTTGGTGTAAAAACGAAGACGCGTTTTAAAATTTGCATGCAGTTAAGGCAACTAACAAATATATTCAACCGTTTTTATTGAGCTTGAGGCTCAACTTATTGTGGAAAAGCGACAATAATTTGAAAAAATGGTAGAAGTGATAGGTATTTCGGAAATCGCCACATTTGCTCATCAGACTATATGTACGTAGGTCTCGTTTTTTGTCCACTCGAAAGAATTTCTAAACAAATTTATTAGGGGTCTTCATCAAAAGTGATAAATTCTTGATGAACTTGATAAAGTGATAAATTTATCATTTTGATAAATGAACTGTCAAACTTTGTATGGAAATCTATTTAACCAAAGTTTATCACTTTATCAAACGACTTTGGTGGACAGGTTGTCAGGCAGTCGCTCTTGCTACGAACACATAATAAAATCAAATGAACACAATGGACGAGGTAAGAATGAAACGTAACTAGCCATATAAGTTAAATAATCAACAGTTTTATGCGAGTATTTACCAAGGCGCGTTCATGAAAGGATACGGATAAACTGACAAATTTTAAGCAATTGATCCCTTTATCACTTTAGACGAAGACCCCTATTATGTTTGTAATGCAACTATGGACACCAGCTGGCAGTGCAACTTGCACTCTCCTGCAAAACTTTTTGAGAGAGGCTACTTTAAAACAGGGACCGTAACCGTTATGATTTTTATAATAAAAATTCGTTATTTTGGGATTTTATATATATATATATATAAATTCCGTCTAAAAATGATTGATATATTAATTTTGAGTAAATAAGCTTCAGCACATACTAGTTACTAAAATATCGCAATTTTCGTATTTCTGAAAATTGCCGTTATATGGGAGGTAGGCGTGGTTATTGTCCGATTTTGTCCATTTTCAATACCATCCGTCCTACACTGAAAAGAAGTACACATACCAAGTTTCGTTAAGATATCTCAATTTTTTACTCGAGTTATTGTGTGCAAAATCGGACAGGCGGATGGACGGACGGAAGGACAGACAGTCACCGCTTAATAGATTTCTGTTTTCATTCTGATAATTTATGTATACATTTATCTATATCTATTTATCTAGATTCGTTTTGCACAAGTGCGCTCGGGTATAACGAATTCAGTCAGCTCATTATACATATCGTCGTTTAAAGAGGAAAACCGCCTATCGTCGTTTTGCAAAACCGCGTAACTTACATTTGTGCCAAAAATTTGATTTGCTCATAGGAAGCTCCAGGCATAAAGTCTTATCTATTAATGCCAAGATATCGATATTAAACTATGTATTGCAAAATAACAGCATCGTTGCAATACCGCTGATCAAGAGTAGCATATATATTTTTTTATATATATTTTTACTCTCTCCTCTATAATCTTGGTGAATTTATATACGCGGTTTTGCATTATCGATGCATCGATGTTTTTTCAAAACTGGCATCTAGAGTACATTGAACCGTCATTTTAGTTTTTTAATTGTAAAAAAAAAGAGAAGTGACTTTGTCCAAGAAATTGAAATTGCTCCAAAAAGTTTCGTTAGAAACATAATTAGCTCAGTGGCAGTAATTTATTTCCAGCTTTGTACAATTTTGCTAATAACATATTTTGTTGTAAAACATTATCTGAAAAATCCTATGCAAATCGATGTATGCTCTTCGATGCATCGAAAAATATCGATGTACATTTCGATGCATCGAATCAAAGAATAACGTCGATGTATTTTTGCCGCTGACATCCCTAAGGTAGGCACAATGCCAGCCCGATGAACGTCGTACTACAGCCACCTATCTGCATTGGCATTCGAACATTTTTTTTTATGATTATGTATGTATAAATAAAAACAAATTTCTTATTTATTATTATTTCGTAATACATACATAAATTTCTTTATTAACTGTTAAATATTAACACGAAATTCTAAAATCTACTGATAAGTATAATTAGATCAGCTACGTACACCTAGAGATAAATTGACACATTTATAATACCTACACTATGAAGAATAAATAAGTTGATAATACCTTCGGTTATATACAATTTTAAACACATACATATGTACGTATCTAGTTATACATATGTATATTCATGCATAAATACAGGTTTCTCTACATAAATATATATTTGTTAAAGTAACCTTTATTCTTGAAAATTTTCAGAGTAAAAGTACGATGGAAGTATTTGGGTTTATTTTTGGTTTTTTTTTTTGGTGGTGACAGTTCGATATAGGCAACGCAGTTTACATATGAAAATTTTTTTGCTTCTCAATTTGAGCTACTTTTCTTCTAATTAAGCCCAAGTTTATCGGTGACTGATCAGTCTTTTGATTTAACGCGATGACCTTTGAGCGCCGGTTTACCATTGCCCATATGCTTCCAAAAGTCCGGGCTTTCATTGGCAGTGCTGAACGCTATTGCAAATTGAGCAGTATAATACGTGGACATGATGAGCATCTGAAAAAATGTAGAAGGTATTCTTACTGCCGCTTTAACCAGCAATTTAAGTGAAAAATGATTTTTTCCTTCTGTCAATTCATATTGAATGAAAAAAAAAAATATTTTTCACTTAAATAGCGTTCGTGAAACCGACTATTAATATCCTGGAGTCTTAACAATTTCTTATTTTTTTTGTGCTGAGAGTTTTATATGAATGAGCAAAATACTAAGTACTAAAGAGGTATCTAAATATAATATATATGAATATTACTAACTCTTGAATACGGCACTGAAATCAAGAACATATTAATGCCAATGAATATATCGGATATGAGAAAGAGCACTGCACCCACTGCACAGAACGTATCTATGAAGCTTGAGCTTGGGAGAGCGCGTGCGATGGCTCGCCAACATGTGGTCAATAAGAGAGCAGTATAGATAGGAAGACCAATGGCGAGTACGGCGTCGAGGCGATTGTATACCACTGAAACTCCTAAAAAAATTTCGTAGAAAAAGTGTAAAATGTAGTATATCTATATAAAATACAATATGTACATATGTATGTATTCACGTTATTGCATTTACGGTAACATTTTAGATAAGGGTATTCACGAAATTGTGTGCTTAGCATCTTTTTTCGTTATTTAAATTGTTTTCGTAATAATAAAGACTACGGCATATTCATAGTCAAAAGTTAGTTGTAGTTTTTTTAACAGATACTGCATTGAAAATTATAGGAGTATACTCGAACGCAAAACTATCAAAGGCTTTAGAAAACTTTTACCGGTTTTGGGTTCTCCTGCCCAAAAAATTTGCAAATTGCAAGTAAGAAAATCTGCTGATCATAAGCATATGTTTGTAAATAAACAAAAGAAAATATGACCTCTTTGAATTATATATTTATGGCAAATTTTATTATTAATGCTAGTATATAACGAAAAAGAGAGTAAAGTTATTAAGCACAAGTTTGTTGAGTTAATTTACTATTAATCTCCAGTTTGTTTACTTTAGTGTGTGCTGATTATGCTTGCCGCATGTAATTTTTCGTTTGTAACATAATTGTCCTTTAAATATACCAAAATAGATAAAAATGCAGCAAGCTGAAATTCTGTTGACGGAATTTGTTAATTTTGGTAGGTTGATTGTTGAAATTAGAATTTTATAATTTTAAATGTACATTTGTAGATATCTACTAACTTTTTTGGATCAAGGATGGGTTTTTGGAGGATATTCTCTTTTATTTTTAGAAACATATTTCATTCATTCCGATTTAATTAATTTGTAATTTTCGTTTCCAAAAGTGAGCAATTGCATAAAATGCAAAATCAGAGAAAATGTGCCAAGCAGAAAGTAAATTGCCAAAAGACCCACCAGTGGCAACTGTGGAAGTGATTAGCTGTTTCGAAGTTTTTGCAAATTTTGCGTTCTCGTTCTTCTGTAAATATTTTGTCCCTTTGAGAGCGAATGTTGCTAAATTCTCAGAATTTTTTCTCCTGGAAAATTTTGTCCTCTCAATACGAGTACGCACCCTATGTCACAAAGCTGCAGCAAGCTTTAGAGTCGACTTTATTTTGACTATCAATATGCCTCAATATTTTTACGCTGCTTACTTTAACAAATTATTCCCCATATTTACAGCACCCGTAAACTTTTTTATTCGCAATTAGCACTAAGCAACTTATGCATCATATCATGAAAACCCGCATTATTATCTTAACTTTGTTTACCAATTGCTCCACTAATGTACAGTGTTACACCGATTGCCAGCTTCAGTGGTTTCCAACCAAACGCTGATATGTACCAGATATGCCCGATAGCAAATGCACCCATTCCATGTGGGAAGAGATTCACACTGAGCAATGCATCACCGGCGCATGAGCCGATTAATCCGAGTAGTATACGTTGTGAGCGTCTGTAGCTGTGTTAATCAAAAACAAAAAACAAAAAAAAAAACAAAAAAAACTTGGTAAGAAAGACATAATCGACTGTGTTGTTAATTTGAAAAGACTTACGTTGGTGTGAGCGCAAATCCTTTGGCTACAACATAGAATATCAGCATTAGAATGGGGAGACATTTCAGCACCGTCGTCCATAATTCACCGTGTGGATCTTTTACGAAGGCAAAATAAAGAACAACAGCGTTAAAGAATGGCATCAATTTCCATATTTGAGATTTGAGCTGAAATTACAAAAACAATAGAAAAATATAGTATTTCTACCTAGAAAAATTTTCAATTGCACGATTTTAAAGTGGGAACCCTACTTAAAAATACTTATGTATGTATTTGTATTTAAAACCGTGTTGGTCAGCGAATTCTTTATTTTGTTGTACATACCCTGCAGGAAGAAATTGTCAATTGATTAAAATAACCAACTTCTAGTTAGCTTTTTTGCGGGAGTTCGATAAATAACTAACTTTTAATTAGCTATGACAAAACTAACGTTAAGTTAGTTGTAAAGCCGTGCAGGACTCATGCAAATGTTATCGGGAGTTTGTTTTCTTCACAAGTTTCTATTTAAATATCCTCATAAAAAAATTACTTTCAATATAATTCTTTTCTGCACTTCGCATATTCTTTTTCGAATTCAGGACAAATTAAATAAAGGACGAAATTTTATATTATCATTTTGATGTTATATCTGATCGAATTCAAATATGACACCACCTACAAAAGAACATGTAAACAAATAGCAAATATGTTATGTTAAATAAAATAAGTATTTAAATAAATAAAAATATATAAAATTGAATTTATATTGATAGCTTATATCCAAAGGTAGTTAGTTACAGTCCTTTATAACCAAATCAGCAGATATTCCCGTGTGATCTGACACTTGAAGAGTATTTAAAGTGAAATAAGTTTGTTATATTTACCAACATAATTTAGCTGAGACTTGCAATGCCTAGCTTAGAAGTACATAGTTTAAAGGCTGTTAAATGACTTGTACGCATTTGGCCCGATGCCCCTCCCCCTCGTGCTTGAGGACTGCAAATAATAGGGCTTGGAATAACGAAGGCTGCGCACTATTCTTGGACATTGATCTAGATCTATGCCCTAATAATTTCCACCTCACTCTATACGATACCCACTTCTTTTTAACCTTTAAGTGGCCTCAAAATACTTGCCAAAAATTAGGTTTTTTACTAGTCTAAAAAATTGCAAAGGGCAGCGCTGGAGCTGATCCAAAGATGTCAATAAATTTAAATTTTTTTTAGATACATATGTATGTACATATGTATGTGCATATGGATGAATGCCTTTGAATATCGGTATCTTGGAGGAATGTAATGGAACATTAAAAAAACTTTTCCAAAAAAAACGTCGCTCAGCGCCTTGGCCATTGTCAGCGAAGATACATCCATACTAGATGATTTCAAAATGGCCGGGATAAACGGTATCGGGAAGGTCTTTAAAATGTTTGCAGGCGGAAACGGACCAAAATCATTTCCCGATTATTTTTTTATTATTTAAAATTTAATAAAATTGAAAATAAAATTTTAATTTCAAAGTAAATTTTTTTAGTGATAGATTTCGGAACCCATGGGACCGGGGGTACAATTCTGAAAAATGTCGGTATGGGCGAGTTCGAGACTTAAAATTCAATTTCGGAATTGAGTATTTAGTTACGTGCCCATCTCTAATCCACACGCTAATTTGCACAAAAATGATGCTAACAACAATTCCTTGAAAAGAAGTAATATTATTATGGAATCTTGGAAAAATTTCAGCCCCCTATCTTAGTTTTTCAGTTGGCGCTCGCAAAAATACAAGTTTTTTAGTGAAAACAACTTTTTCCGCTATCTGCTTTTTCTTTTAATAAACAATTAAATATAACAAATAAGAAAAACTCTGTATTCCATTCAATTTTAATATGACAAGCGCACGTTTGACGTAGATAGGACTCACCGTTGATTTTTGGATTTTTTTTTATTCACGGCATCAGTAATTGTCTTCCATACAAAATCCAAAGCCAAAAATCAACCGTAACTCGTACTATTTTAAACTTGCACTTAGGACCACGTGCTCAAAGCCTGGTTGACACTAATCTCCAGATAAACATCGTTATCGACGTTACCGACAGCCTGTTATATGCATGGAGCCGAAGACCTCGATAACGATGACACTTAGGACCGTTTTAACTATGCCCGGTTAACACTAATCTCGAGTTAAACATCCTTGCCGGCGTTACCGACACAATGTAATAGGCGTGGAGTCTGTAACGTCGGCAACGGTATTTAACTGGGGATTACTGTTAACCAGAGTTAGTGAAACGGCCCTTATTATACTAAAATTGAATGAGCTAAGAGTTTGTTTTCATTTGCTATATTTTTTAAAAATTAAAGTAATGGTAATAATCAGGGAACGGATTTTATGGAAATTGTCTTTTTTTCTGCTAAAGAGATAGAGTATATTCGATTAAGAATGCCCACGATTTAGCTTTCCCTGATTCCATATATACACATTTGATGTTGCCTTTTTTAAGATATTTGCCTTTTTTTGCCTTTTTTAAGATATTCGCCTTTTTTTGCCTTTTTTACCTTTAAAAAGGGATTATAGCATTCACAATTTTTTTTAAAGATTAAAAAATATTCACATGCCCATGCGGCTTATAGAAGCGCAGGGATCTCTTGCCAAATTGGTGTTGGAAAAATTCAAAGCCGTTTTCTCAGGTAACGTAGGCTTGGAGACAATAAGGGGTGTGGATACAATTGTAAAGGGCGAGGAAAACGCCCTTATTCCTGATAATATGAACGTTTCAAACGTTCCATATTTAAATTGGGCTCAACTTGTATGAACTTACGTCGAGCGCACATTTAGTATTTTCAAGGCTTTTCTTCGCGAAAATTGAATGAAAATGCTGCCAGAAAACTTCAAAATGCATCTTGTGGGTCAATGTTACTACAACTGTACAGATTAAAGTTTTATGAGTTAGAAACTCGAAAGGATAAAATAGTCAAAGACGCAGAGTACGAATATTTCATATAATGAAAGTTTTTCTCTTTTTACTTGTAATATAAACATTTGAACTTATACTTCTTTACTTGTTTCTTAACAGCGATCGCACCTCGACAGGCAATGGCAAACCTCCGAGTGTATTTCTGCCATGAAAAACAGCTTCTCATAAAAATACAATCGCCGTTCGGAGTCGTCGTAAAACTGTAGGTCCCTCCCCTTTATGTGACAACATCAAGGCGCACGCCACAAATCGCAGGAGAAGCTCGGCCAAACACTAACATATGTATAAGCATCAATCTATTATTACCAGGGAACGGATTTTTAGGACCTAAAAACCTATAAAAAAGGCAAAGTAAAGTAATAAAATAGGCTGGAAAAGGCAAAATAAAATAGCGAAAAAGGCAGGAAAAGGCACTAGGTATTACAAAAAAGGCAAAAAAGGCAAAACAAAATAGCGAAAAAGGCAGGAAGAGGCACTAGGTATTGCAAAAAAAGCAAAAGAAGGCACTAAAAAAATACAGAAAATACGAAGAACAATAAAAAAACATTTATTTTAGGGGCGAAACCGAACTTTATATTCCCGGCACAGCTATCAAATCTCGTTGTTTCAACTTTCTCTGAACTACCTTTGCATGATAAGTAGGGGTGTTTACACGATTTCAAAAATTCGGTAATATTCAGAGTAAGACTTAATGATATATTTAATTGAACCTAGTTAGGTACAAATCGATAAAGTGGTTACCGAGGTACACCTTTGTAGTTATAAAGGTGGCGGTGCTACGCCCAATTCCTAAAAGTCTATAGCAGGCCTATTTATTGTTAGGAGATTGAACGATTAACTTGAGGTAAATTAATGTCCTCAGTTATTGAAATATCGGAGTTTTCGTATTTCTGAAATTTAACGTTGTACGGGAAGCGGGTGTAATTTTAGTCCGATTTGAATAAGTTTATTAAGTGCACCGAGTTTGGTGGAAAGTGATAAATCAGTTACCGAGATACACATTTGTGGTCATAAGTGGACGGCGCCACGCCCGTTATCCAAACATTTATGATATTCTTATTTTCTGCTAAGTGGTTATTGCAATCATCGATTTGAAGTGAATTAGCTCCAGTAGTTACTGATTTATCGCAGTTTTCGTGTTTCTGTAAATTACTGTTATATGGAAGGTGGGCGTGGTTATAGCCTGATTTTAAAGATTTTCAACAGATTTCTTAGCTAGACTCTACCCAAGCCTCGTACCGAGTTTGGCAAGGATTGGTGAAGCGGCTACTGAGATACAGCATTTCCTCATAAGTGGGCGGGGTCACGCCCATTTTTCAAAAGTTTCATAACGAAATTATGTTTTACCACAATTCTACACCACATACCAATTTTCAGCAGTTTACATCTAATATTTACTGAAATATCGCAGTTTATGTATTTTTCGAAAATACCGTTATATGGGAAGTGGGGGTGGTTACAGTCCACTTGCGCCCATTTTTTATACCAACCTACCTTGGATAAAGGGCAACCTACATACGAAATTTCGTTGATATATCTCAATTTTTGCTTGAGTTATCGTGTACACGGACAGACGGACGGACAGACAGATATGGCTTAATCGACTTCTCTTTTCATTCTGATCATTTATATATACATTTGTCCATCTGAATTCATTTTGGCTGTTACAAACAATCGTTATGCGAACAAAGTTGATATACCCTTGTACACAAGTGCGCTCGGGAATAAAAACCTTTCTTCTATATATATTTATACCCGAGCGCACTTGTGCACAAGGGTGTTATAACTTTGTTCACATAACGGTTGTTTGTAACAGGCAAAAGGAATCGAGATAGATATAGACAAATGTATACATAAATGATCAGAATGAAAAGAGAAATCGATTAAGCGGTGACTGTCTGTCCGTCCGTCCGTCCGTCCGTCCGTCCGTCTGTGCACACGATAGCTCGAGTAAAAATTGAGATATCTTAGCGAAACTTGGTATGTGCACTTCTTTCGGGCGTAGGACGGACGGTATTGAAAATGGGCAAAATCGGACAATAACCACGCCTACCTCCCATATAACGGTAATTTTCAGAAATACGAAAACTGCGGTATTTTAGTAACTACTGAAGATTATTCGCTCAAAATTGATATTTACAATAAGTTTTAGACGAAAAATAAGAATATTATAAATTTTTGGAAAATGGGCGTAGCCACGCCCACTTATGGTTACATGTG